GATGCATAGAAAACGTAGATTTTTGTGAGCCGCTACTTTTTAAAGTATGTTGCATTTGGTACGGTACTTTTGTTATCATAAGGCGGTATAATGTATTAGTGGAGAGTATGAGTTACAGATAAAATAAGTAAAGGAAAGAAGACAATAAGAGAGGAATGTGGCGAGACAAGGGCTGGAGCATTAATAAAAGACAAGAGCTGATCAGTTCACCAGACCAAGGCAGACAGACTCCAGACGACCAACAAACACCTCTTGGCAACACCCGAATCGTGTTCTGAATGCACGGGAAAGTGCCTTTTCTTTCTTGCTTTTTAATGACCTAAATTGGTGATAGGGAAAAATGTACCTGGATTTACCTGAGCGCCACCATTTCACTAGTTGCTTGATAGGGCCAGGAAGCTGGCAGCTTGTCAAAGCCGCCATTTTTCTGATACTTTATTTTCCAGCTAGATTATGATTTGCAGTAACGACTTAGCATTTACGACGTCGGCTGGTAGGTGATTTCATGGATTTGCAAACCCTTGGGTGAAAAATCATCTATTTTGCGTCTTGCATTGTTATGTGGCTTGTTAAGCTAGAAGCCATTGCTCTATGTATTACATCCAACCTTTTAAAGAAGCGGTCTGCATCACCATACTCAAAATGCTTCAATATTTCGAAAGTTTTGATGAGATTACCCGTGTCATGTCTCGTCTGAAGTGTTGTTAGTCCTGTGGCCCTCAAACTTTCCTGGAATGAGTCGACTTAGTTCCGGGATGATTTTTGTCGCCAGGTGTTGAACTTTCTCCAAACCAGATATGTCTTTCTGAAGATGAGATCTCCATGCTTGGATGCAGTTGTCCAGATGGGAGGCGCACCAGAGATTTGTACAGTTAAATTTCCACCTTCCTTTCCTTGACGTGAAAGGTTCGTTAGACTATTCTTATGGTTTATTTTTTGTAAATATTTTTTACAGCAGCTCCCATTTATTGTGCAGCTTTCAATGACTGGTGGATTCTGATTACAAGGTCCTTTTCATCAGAAATCTACTTCAAGGTGAAGCTGCTGTTGAATTGGTGGTTGTGATATGAATTATTATACCCCCCCCATGAATGATCTTGCATTTTCAATATTAACAAACATTTGCCAGTTTTCATAGCATTTGTGGAGTTCGTGGTCTCTTTGTAAGGCCTCAGTATCATTTTATCTTCCTATTGTACCATAGATCTTTGTTATAAGCAAACTTGATGATGTGGTTGGTAATATTCTCATCTATGTCACTGATGTATATGACAAAAAAGGTTCGCCCAAGACAGACCCCTGTGGTACCCCACTCACCACATTTCTCTAGTCAGATTCATTTATATTTAGGACGATCCTTTGTTTTTGTTTTAAACAATATTTTATCCATTCTATTTCCTACCATTTATTCCATGTGCTTGTAATTTCTTTACCAGCCTTTCATGTGGTACCTTACCACAGTTTATTAGAAGGCCATGTATACTACATTTATTGGAAGTCCTTTGTCAGATTTGCTGGTTACCATCTCTAAAATTATGAGCAGCTTAGTAAGGCTTTTTTTGTAGTAAAACCAATGTTGAGTTGATTTTACTTGATTGTGCACTGTGAGATGTTGAATGACTCCCTCGCTTCGGATTCTCTCCATGAGCTTGCAGATGTCTGAGATCAGGCTGATCAGACGGTAATTATTTGCCGAGATCATTCTGCCTTTTTGAAATTAGAGGTGACATTTGTGTATTTCCAATCTAGGATCCTTGGTCCAGAGGTTTTTAGAAAAGGAGTTTCAGTGGTAGTGGTAGACACTACGCCAGTTATTTTATGACTGGATTTAAATCCATCCACACCTGAGGCTTTTGAATTTTTTAGTTTGCCAATGTCCTTTTCCAGACTTTTTCGAACGTTATGGGAGTATCCCTATATATAAAATACTATGCCCAAGATTACCATCAGAGTGCCGGCGAGATGATGGGGAATTAGCCTCGGCTATCATCATTTTTTGTCCGGTCGTGATGGTCGAGTGGTTAAGGTGTCCTGTACACCAGTTGCAGAGTGCTCCTGACAGTATGGGTTCGAGTCACTTTTGGGGGTGTGAGTTTTCAGTTGCATATAAGCCTGGGGACCATTCAGGCTTGTTCGCATTTGTGTTCCTCACGTGTGCCCCAAAGAATGAGGTGATTTGATAATATATTATGCCCAAGATTACCATCAGGGTGCTGGCGGGATGATGGGGAATTAGCCTCGGCTACCATCATCTTTTGTCTGGTCGTGATGGTCGAGTAGTTAAGGTGTCCTGTACACCAGTTACAGGGTGCTCCTGGCAGTATGGGTTCGAGTCACTTCTGGGGTGTGAGTTTTTAATTATATATATATATATATATATATATATATATATATATATATATATATATATATATATATATATATATATATATATATATATATATATATATATATATATATATATATATATATATATATATATATATATATATATATATATATATATATATATATATATATATATATATATATATCTCTTAACAATTTGTCATGAAAAATATACATCTCATATTAAAGCATATTAGCCATGTATGGTGTTACTGCTGCTTTTCACTTATAATTGAGGTAGAGATTGCGTAAAGCTTGAAACACGCTGGAAACAGTTATTCTTATAATATTTGCAACACACATATTTCAGCTCAGTACGCAACACTAAGTATGCTGACATGCTCCAAATACAATAACTTAATGGGTCAAGAAGGACTAATGGCGGACTCCGCCAACTTCAAAACATTCTTTATAGACTTAGCTCTAAGTTTATTGTATAATATAGCTGATTATATTTTTCTTCAAATTAAAGACATTTTTAATCTATCAGGATATTTATTGGTCAAGAAACTCAGTTACTTAACTAGTGAAATGGGATCGACGTTTGACTTTACAATACAGGTGAGCCTCTCAGACCTTGTGTGAATTATATTCGTGGATAATTAATTGATGTGTGTTGTCTGTAGACTGTAGATGGAATATATTTCTCGTTTCTATCCAAGACTGCCGCCATCTTGGACAAATTCAACTATACCTCAGTGGTAGCAAATAAAAACAAATGTTATAAGCTGCCACATCTGTAGTTGACATTTATCATGTTTCAGTCTGGCTTTGAGAGGTTCTGCTGTATTTCTCTGTACAGGTAAAAGGAAATGACTTAGTGACCACCGCTGCCGTAGCCACCGCCATAGCCACCGCCACCCTTGGCCTTGTGCAGGGCCTTGGACGATGCTGCCGTAGCCTGTGCAGCTGCTGATTGTGCTTCCTGCAGGTCGTTCACAGATAAGTTCTGTTGCTGGTTGAGGGAGTTAGATGCCTGCTGAGCCTCCCAGGCCATGGCTGCCTGAGCAACGCGTACAGCCCGGGCGTGTTGTAGTGCCTGGAAAGTCTGGGTGACCACCGACTGAGCCTCGGCGTGGGCTGCATCAATGTCGTTGGATGTCGCTACAGCCAAGTTGTACGTGTTTTTGGCTTCCTGTTCAGCAGCAATAGTCAGCTGAAGCTTGGCTGCTTCGGAAAAGGCTGCAGCTTGGGCACCCTGGGCAGCCTGTGTAACCTGCGCTGCTTGGTTAAGCTTGCTTGCCGCAGCAGCGTGAGCCGTTTGAGCTGCTGCCGATGAAGCCGAGGCTGCTTGACTAGCTGCGGCACCGTACGCGGCAATAGCGGCTCCTTGTTGACCAGCGGCAGCGGCAGTAGCCTGATTAGCAGCCTGGTTAGCGACTTCGGAGGCGAAAGCTCCGTGTCCAGCGCCGGCGCCACCGCCTACCACCAAGTACCCGGTGCCGCCACTACCATAAGAACCACCGCCATACCCGCCACCATACCCGCGCTTCTCCTGTTGTGCACACGTAAAGTATTAGGAAGGTTGCAGAAGGACAAAGGAACACCCTTTTATCTACTTCTAACAAAGTTATAGAAAACAAACTTGTAATTAATCAAGGACAAATGAAGTATGAAGTTTATTGCTATTCTGCAATAAAGTCAAATAAATTAAAAGCTGACAAATTTTATATTATTAAGATAATGCTGACCTCATACTAACGATTGAAAAGCAATACTGGCTTACAGGCTAAAACCTTAAATTTATCGTCATACAAAATCAGTGATTTTATTCTCGTAAGCTAAAATTTGTTAAATAGAAAATTACCCATACCAATATTTGCTTAGTGGAACCATCTATCTGACGGAGGTTCTCAGCATGTGCTTGCGGTGTTAAATTTCTTAAAATAAAACAAATAATAACTTTTGTGTGTTATATGAATGATTTTTTTTTTTACTGTTTAGTCAAAGTTAATTTATTTTTGTATTGAGGCAGGTATTTTCTCCCCTGTTTATAGCGAGTTTTTTTTTATCTAAACTGTGTAATCTTTCATATAGAACACCTATATATGAGCTTTCATATAGCAGCACATTGTTGTGTATGCCTAAGTTTGTTAATAATAATACAAAAAAATACTTTCTTTCCGAATCAGATTTAAAAACAAGAATTTGTTCTAATTTTGTTTTAAATTAGTAGGCTAAAACTAATTGTATTCCGTTTAGATGCAGATAAATAATATTTTCCTAATGCAACGAAATTAGAGTTAGCAGTTTCAACTTGTTTTCTTCAAATTCTTTTTATAAATCATAATGAAATCATAATTTAGATTAAATAAGAATTTAGGGCAAAATTTAAATTTGAAAACATATTATTATGCTCTAAATTGTTAATTGATGGAACCCGTCCTTTCACCGTAGAAAATAATAATAATAAAAAAAACCTAATGCGTCGCATTTATGAAGGATAGACTAGATTATATCGTTAAGAATGCGACGTATTAGTAAACCTAGAGACCTTGCTAGGTTATTATTTAAGTTGGTGGACCCGCCTGAACCTGATACCTCAACTACACATGCACTTTTATTGTGCAGTGTTGGGTGTGATACTGCGGGGGCTGGAATAGACTACTTACGCGAGCAAGTTCCTGTTGACCTTCCTCTCCTATAGCCACTCCTGTTGACAAAGAGAACACCATGTTAATCTTAGTTATGAAATCTAATTGGATTTATATATGATGCTGATTGATTTAACTAAACAAATGATTAATTTACATGTGGATCTTTTAATGGTGATTAACTCACCTAAGGAGATGAGAACGACAAGTGTCTTGAAATGAACCATAGTGGCGAGGGACTGGTCCAAGTGTGAAGCTCCAGAGTGGCTCCTCGTCTTATATACTTCCCGCTCAGTCATGCGCCAGGGGCCTACATTGTGCTAACTCATTCTTCCTCACTTGTACCTTTCAGTATGCTCCATTATTTCCCAAGAGTTTCAGTGTACATATTTTTTTCGAATTGTACATGCTGTGTTATGGCAATGAGAAATAATATGGCCTTACTGCAGATTTATTCGCAACAACCATTATGACAATTACAAACGTATTAAAATCAATATATTTTGTTATTGAATCCCCTTCATAAATCTAAAATACTTATCTAGGACATCTTTCAAAGAAGTTTTATTAAACTCAATCCGACAGTAATACTGAGGAGACGGTGCACACTTTCTTATCTTATCTTCCATGTAAGTCAATCAGTTAAAAGACCTATATAGGCAGCCATTAGCTCAATTTGTTTAGTGTTGTGTATTTTTTCTTACACCAACCTCCAATGATCATCCTGGGAATTTTATTATAGGCGCATAAAAAGAACATAGGATATAGTTGTACTAAAACATACTTTGCTAAACATATTCAAGTAGGTAATGCAGCTGAAGAAAAAACTCCACTTGAGGATTAGTTAAGGCAGACTGTATTATTCACTTCTTCTGGACATTTGATCTGGAAAATCAGATTTTGAGCATACGTAAAGTTGTGACGACATCCCACGGAAGCAGCCTAGCACTCACACTCGCTAACCACTTGGGCTTTTTTATTATTATTATTATTTTCTACCACAGACGTGGCCACACATTTACAATGCTAACCAGCATATATACATTTTCTTCTGTCCTCCATGGACAGGGTGAAGATTTGTCAAACATACAGTTCAGAGATTTATTGAACAACTACAGAAGGTGATCGTAGTGCTTTTAAAATGTTAGGCTAAGCTACATACGTAAATACATAGATTTATGAATGCATTAATGTGAATTTCTAATGGTGAAATGCAATTCTGATCAGCTTTATACTTTATACACATACATACACACACATACATACATACACACACATACATACATACACACACATACATATATACACATATATTTGTCTCTTTTACTCTGACAGGGTGAGATAGCTGACAAGAGAAACTAGTGTACAATTAAATGTACAATTAAAGCCATATGTCCCCAACGAGAACACTTCATGCATAATATGGACTCCTCAATGTATTTTGCAACTTTCCTGTAGCCTAGTCTTAGCACAAAAATTCTTTCTGGAGCCTCACTCTTTACCATTTTTTTTTTATTAATACATTAGTTACATCTGCATTTGTGCAGCTACCCTAGACTATATGGAGTGGAGTACAGTGTATCAAAAAAAGCTAATTACGTGATGCTAAAAAATCCCCATCACACAGGATGGTTAATCATACAGAGGCATGTGATAGGCAGTCTGCACTGGCAGATTCCGGATGCATTTTGAGGATATCATCAACACAAGAGTGAATAAGGTAGCAGTGGTAATAAAAGTCCCCATCTCGCAGGATGGTTAGTCATACAGGGTCATATGTTTAGTAGCCTGCACTGGCAAATTTTGGGTACACTGTGAGGCAACAACCTGGCGTTGTTTTTCACCACGAACACTGTTCCTCTTTGCCCAAACAACACTATCATTGTTGAGAAGATAATCAGGATCCAAATAAGTTGGATACTTAAAAACTATGACCTTGGTGTGCATCATACCTTGTTCCCGAATAACCATCACAATATTCCCAAACCCATCCGTTGTTAGGTGTTCCACGGCCTCTTCTGTCCCAACTGTTATGTAGGGCCGTTGAGCACCCTCCTTGAAGAGTGGTTCATATAAAAAAAACTCATTAGCTAAACGAACCGTTCACTCCAGCTTTTGATGAAAGTTCAGTTGACACGCTGTAGGGAACAACAGCCTCTTCCTTCCATTAGTCTGCATCTCCCGCGTCCTGCTGAGCAGGGTTTCATTTTTTGGTCTCTTTGTTATTTCATCTTCACTATCACCGTCTCGCTGTCTGTGAATACTTCGCCGTTTATATCTGTCCACTACTGCTTGATACGGCCTGGTATCATCCTGTCTGTCATCCTCGCTCTCACACTCTCCAGGCCCAGTGGTGCAGGATCGTCCATCACTTATGCAGACCGCCTCAGCCATTTCCTCGACAACACAAAGGCACTGTATCACTGCAACAGTCGAGGACAAATTCACAACATCCAGCTGCAGCAGCCACGTGCAACACGCCCTGCTCGCATCATGCAGCAGATCGCACGCTCAGATTTCTTACCGGCATATCTAATAGTCCGCTGCTTGAACTATACAGACAAAGTCTACGCCAAGGTGTCCTACCAGATCGTTGGACGCAAAGCCTCATAATCCCTGTACCTAAGTCAAACTTGAACAAATTTTAACTTCTTTATACCGGCCGATATGATATCTTTAACGTCTTGCATGTGCAAGCTCCGTGAGAGGATTGCTCTCAGTAGGCTAATATTGAAAATCAAAAGTCAACTCAACTCACTTCTAATTTGCATGGCTTTCTGGGAAAGGTAAACAATCTTGCTTTGCTGAGTACTTCATCAGACATGAACCAAACACTCACGTACCTTTTTTTACCTCCAAGCTGCTTTTTGACACAGCTAATAGGGAACTCATCCTTGAGCAACTAGCTTCTTTGAACTCAGGGGAGATTTGTTGAAATGGATCAGGGGTTATTTGAGTAACAGAACTGCCGCAATCATCTATAAGGTAGTTAAAAGTAGCTATAATGGCTCCTTTGAACTGTGCACACCTCAGGGAGGAGTTCTCAGTCCTACGATTTTCAATGTACTGATGCATAGACTAATAGCTGACATACCTATACAAGTCGATGACGCTGTCATCTGCTATGCAGACGACATTTGCGTCATTGTAAACAGCGACAACCGGCTGCAGACTCTCCTTGATACACTTGCAAATAAATGTATTGAGTGTGAGCTTATCGTCTCCACAGGTAAAACATTATGCCCCTCAAAAATCAATAATCTCCTGTTTTTAAAATCAATGATCAGCGCATTGAAAACTGCAGGCAATACAAATACTCGGGTACAACTAGGCTACAGAGCAGTAATTCCTAGGCTAGAAAAAAAATAGCTGCTTTGATATTGATCTAAACTAACTGTTAATGAAATTGATAATTTATTGTTAAAAGTAATATATATGATTTATGGAAATTATACCCACATTATACTTCACTTTAAGTATATAAAGTAAATATAGGCAATTAAAGAAAACTACAAGTTGTGTTGCCTAAACGTTGAATCAGCTATATGTAAACCGTAATAGCTATATTACTTTGTTGTATCCACTGTTAAAATTATGTAAAGTATTGTTTATAAATGATTTGGATCCATTGTATAATATTACTCTGTTATGCATAAAAGTTGCAAACCCAGTAATGGTTTTGTTACAGCAACGTCATTATAACTAAATATGAGGTTAAACGGAAATTGTAACAATCAGTGTCTAACATCTCCTGGGGTTTGAATAAAACCTCCGTCCTCTGTAATCCTTTTGAACTGCATTTGGCGTCAACAAGCAACAAACTCAGCATATGATAGTGAATATACACTCACATACAACCTCACTTTTTTGAATTACGGGAGTTCGTTAACCAACTTAGACCTTTGGATTCCATAATTGGTCACTTTCGTAGGTAAGTAACGTGCTAAATGAAGCATTGTAATGATTTGTTACCAAATGCTGGACCAAGCCCGAGACGCCATTTTGGTATCAGTCTTGTCATTTACAGTGAGTCAGCGAGCCGTGGAACCTCCAGCTCCAGTGGATCAGTATACGCCTTGCTGGAGCATCATGAACACATCGTTATTACTGTATTGCTTTTATCACTATTGGTCTTTCCTTCAGATATGACAAAATGACATTATATTTTGTAATATTATCCTAAGACCTTACATTTTATTTTTTAATATTTTCCTAAGACCTTTAATAGTTAAATAGTTAAATAAACCATGGAATGACTAAATTTCAAAAGAAAACACATCAATTAAGTAAGAAAAGAAGCAGAGAATGAAAGTTTAAGATCAATATAGTGCATTAGGATAAACACTGACAGCTTGTACATCTGAAGTTATACCTTATATGATTATGGAGATTATCTCGTCTATATATAAAATGAAGATTGCAAGAGCAAGAAGTAAACTGATTTATGTGGATAGCATTAATAAAATCGAAATGTATAGAAGAAACTCTGCGACCGTTCATAAATTTTCTTGTGATGTTTGAGTTAATGCACATTATTAGGCTTTACTGGGTAAGATAGGTTAGGCAACAGTAGGTTAGTTTAGGTAAATTTGTTAAGCTAGAAAGTTATATTTCCGGTAGTAAACAAGTTATGTTAGTGAAATGCAATGCTTTATTTAAATAGTGCAACACTTCATGGATCTATCTAAATAGCGCGAAGCCCCATATAAGTTTATCCAAATACTAATCTCTGAGGCGAGTCTAGAGCCCTCGCCAATCGGTGTCGGTATCATAAACCCTATGAAATAGTAGTATGTGTGAGGTGAATGAGAAGCATCGCCAGACATGTGGCTTTATTGATCAAATAATTACAGTACAGTTACATCCTGCAATAACACAAGCCATTAATACACTATACTTATACACAGTTTAAGCACTGTCTATTCAATATAACAATAAGCCAACTGCACATGACTAAAGCTAGAATATACAGAAATTAAATTAGAAGTTAACATTACACAAACCTGTACACAAGCACGACACAGCTGATCTGACGATATAAACAAGTCAAGCGAGCATCCAAACAAAACAGTCAAGCGAGCATCCATCCGGTACGATAATATATAACACTTTTACTACAATGTGTGTGTGTGTACTCACTTATTTGTATTCACTTATTTGTGCTTGCGGGGGTTGAGCTTTGGCTCTTTGGTCCCGCCTTTCAACCGTCAATCATCCGGTGTACAGATTCCTGAGCCTACTGGGCTCTATCATATCTACATTTAAAACTGTGTATGGAGTCAGCCTCCACCACATCACTGCCTAATGTTAACTACTCTGTTAACTACTCTGACACTGAAAAAGTTCTTTCTAACGTCCCCTGTTGCTCATTTGGGTACTTAGTCTTCACCTGTGTTCCCTTGTTCGCGTACCACCAGTGTTGAATAGTTTATCCTTGTCTACCCTGTCAATTCCCCTGAGGATTTTGTAGGTAGTGATCATGTCTCCCTTTACTCTTCTGTCTTCCAGTGTCGTAAGGTGCATTTCCCGCAGCCTTTCCTCGTAACTCATGCCTCTTAGTTCTGGGACTAGTCTAGTGGCATACCTCTGAACTTTTTCCAGCTTCGTCTTGTGCTTGACAAGGTACGGGCTCCATGCAGAGACCGCATACTCCAGGATATGTGGTATACA